GGGGGCAGTGCAGGGTCGGCATGGGGAGTTTGAAAATACGCCGAGTCCGACTAATCGACGCAGAAGACGTCGTACCGAGCTGTGATGCAACCGGAGCACGTTCCTCAGGCGCAGTTACAACTCGACCGAATTGCTGTGAACGATGACTGCACCAAGGCCGTGTGCGAGGACGGGAGGGCGAGCTCGGCTGGGAAAGGTGTAATCTGATAAGAACACCCGGTGCCGGTGCCGAAAGTGCTTCCGCTGGAAGGCGCACGCGAGTGGGAACTGTGCGCGCGCAAAGAGGGATCGACGGAGCCACGTCGCAACGCATCGTATTGACGTGGCCAGGCCGTGCTTTGCGGAAGACATGCCTCCGAGACGTCGAGGAATGCGAAGCATAAGCCGAACTCAGCCACGACCACGCTCGACCGCTCTCCAGAGTGAGTTGGAGGGTGAATTCATGCGAGAGAAGCCTGGGAAGGTTGAGCGTCGAGTCACACCTGCGAAGCATGGATAGATTTGAAAGCGACCCACAGCTTGCGGCGATCTCGCCGGCGGCTGTGAGCGAGTCAATGGCGACACGCGTCCTCCGTGGACTTTGTCCAGAGGGCTCGTAGCCGAACCACCCCCACCTGCATGGAGTTAAGGCTGTCTGCCTCCAGCCGTGCATTTTCCGACAATTTTTGGATTGGAAGTCGCGCGTCGTGGTGGAAGGAGGATCTCGCGTTTAGCGGACGCTTGGTCGCACCTGACGGCTTTGCACGCGCGTCAGATCCAGAATCAACGGCGAATTTTTCCCCAACACGACGCAGAAATTGCCGCCCGCATCCCGAGCGCCGAGAGGTGTGGAGGCGCGCCTGCCAACCTTGGAACGCCACCGAAGCCGACCGTAGAAGCTTTGGGCCTGGCCCACCGCCTTGTCGCCATCGAATGCTGCCAAGACGATCGCTCGATCCGCCGACGTGGGCCAGACCCATCCGTGCTGACCTGAAGCATCACTCCGCTCGATCAAGCGTGCAAAGCGTGGCTCACCCACGAACGGGGTTGCTGATTGCGACCGCCTCGAAGAGACGACGAAGCGTCTAGGCAAGGCAAGGTGGTGAGCGCCCCTGGCAAGCACGTCTTCCTTCGGAGACATCTACGGGCCGGAAGCGTCCGACGACGAATGCGATAGAAGATCGAGCATGAACGCAAGAGCGCGCGCGACACTCGTCCCTCTCTGCATCGTACGGTGCATGCGATAAAGATGCCGCCAGAACAGTCGTTCACTTAATTTAAATTTATTTATTTATTTTTGGTCTCGGCGTCGAAGCAGCCGCACCGGATGTGAGTGTGAACCCTGGACTTTGTGCACCCCGCTTTCCACGGACATGTCTATGCGCCGGCCGGCACACGCGAGTCTGACTCCACTTCCAGCCTAAAAGCCGCGCGTGACTCGGCCTCCTTCTCGCTCCACAGCCACATCCCCATCCACGCCACACGGCGCCTCCTTGCAACCTTTCGATCGTCGCTGATCCTCCCGCGCGCGAGGCGCACTCGAATCCTCGCACCCAAAAGTTGGGGCTGTCTTCGATGTAAATCTTTTCGCAATGAGAAAATTCTGCCACGGTCGACTGAGGCAGTTTAACCGAAATGTCAACAGCTTTGAAAGCGGGGGGGGGGGGGGGGGGG